CTCAGAATGCTTTAATTAAATCTAGAAATAATTTTGGATCTTTGACTTTGTCTCACTGCAACAGATGCGTGATAGCAAATCATTATCTACATATGGTGGCAATTTGAAATTTAATATTTTTTTTTTAAATATTAAATTTAAATACTTAAAACCTAACCTTAAATTATAATATAATTTGTGCATTATTTTGTGCACCAACATAAGTGCTTTGATTTGAACAAAAACTGTAAAAAAATAATTAAGTTTCAAAAAATAATATTAGGTGAGGTCAAAATAGTTTTAAATAATCAGTGATCCATTTTTATGCCCTTTGCTTATTTATTTTTTTTTATTTTTTTGTAATTTTTAAAAATATTTTTGAAATTATGAGACCATTATGCAAAATAATATTCAAGTGTAACAATTGAATTGCTTTCGTTTATTGTGTTTCTTTTCACAATTTTTATAAAAAAGAATTCCAATTTTCTGAATTATTGAAGTGCATCGTTAGTTTTACTTAAAGTAAAGGAAACATTATAATATACATACACGCATATAATTTTATATTTCTTCTTTAAGTATGTGTAATAAAAATATTCTTGAAAATTTCTATAATTGTTCATTGAATTCTATAGTTTTTGTTTTTTTTTTTTATTTCTTCATTTATAAATGAAATATATAAAAAATAAATAATTGTTATCAATATAATTTTAATCAAAAAAAGAAAATTTTTTTTTTTTAACAAAATTAAATTTTCAATGATTTCATATTCGATTCTACCTACATATATAAATTATACGGTATTGTTTTATGATATTTTTATACGATATGGGTACAAAATGACATCATCCATTATCAAATTCATAATAATATTGGTTTTTTAACTTTTTCTTTTAATATTCAAAAAATTAAAAGCAAAAAATAAATGTGGAAAAATTAATTTTATTAATAGTATGGCAAATTTTAAAATGAAGTTGATAATTTTTTTATAAATATATTAAAATTTATAAGTTTTAATAAAAAAATAAAATAGTGAACACCTTCATTTAGATTTAAAGGTAAGAAATTAACATGAATTTGTTTTTTTTTCTGGGGACGTGCTTTTATATTACACACACATTAAACACACTAATTATAATGGTGGGATTTTCATGTCATTTTGTTTTATTAACATGATAATATGAAAATATTTTGATATAAACTTTCCTTATTATATTTTTAGTGGTGTCTTGGTCATCGAAAATTCGTAGTTAATCTTAACTAAGGAGGTTATAATTTTATACAATCCTCCGCTTTTCGTCTTGTAATTACTTCCATATATTGCTCTCTCACACTTTTATGTTCTCTTTGTACTTTCATATTATTTTATGCTGTCTTATCCCAGGGTTAATTTTGTTATCGTACGTGAAACATTTACAGAGAAATTGGGAGAGTTGAAAAAAATTACTATTACCTGTCATCCGTCGATTGTTAAAAAATTTCAACTTGTTAGTTAAAGGCTATATACATATATAAATGTGCATATAAAGGTATTTCTAAAAAATTACAGTGTTTACACTTTGAAAATTCATGAGCCTTACTCATTGAAATATAAATTTTTTTTACTTAAAATTTGATAATAATACCAAAACCAATTAAATTTTAGTTCGAAAAATCAATTAATATTTTTATATTTATTATTTATATTTATTATTTTATTTTTAATAAAATTAGGAGGAGACAAGAAAACGAATACTATAATACTTTTATTTCGATATTGATTTTAATTCCGCAAAAAAATTGAATATCTTCAACTTTTCTAATTTCGGTCGGACAGTATTGTCCTTTAAGATAAATTATTATACAAAATCATAAACATGCATATAGTAACGTAAAGTCTTTAAAGTTAAATTTTTATCAAACAACAAAAGCACAATGGAACTAAGTACTCTCTTGTTTCTTCAAATTGAAATTCAACACTTCGAATGGATCATATTAGATGGAGTAAGAGTAAGCGCATATATGGTCAATATTTAAATAAAATTTTATTTCAAAATCAAATATTAAAAATTCAATTTTAAATTAAATATCAATAATTGAATTTATTGATTTAAATCAAAATTACATACGTATACATGTAAATGTGCAATTTTCCGGTGTTTTTCTTTTATAAAATACTTAACAAATCACCTTAGATTTACCCTTTTACCTTTATGATTTTTATTATGAGGCCAAAACAAAATCAAATATTTGTATCTTAAAAATTTATTATTCTTTTTATAAGAAAATTATGCAAAAAAAAAGAAACAAGAAATTAAAAATTCAAAAATAAAATTTTGAAAGTCTAATTTTTTTTAGCTTAATTATTTATACAGCGATCACTGGTGTCAAAAAATATTCAACGCAACTAACGCCAATATTCAAAACGAAGTGAAGTTAATTTTCAAATTGAATTTTTTTTTTTTTGTTTTAATTCCAACATTTTTATAAAACCTTATGTATTAGACAATTCAAATTTTGTTTAATGGAAGTTTTAAATTTTGTTTGAACTAAATACATATATTTTTATTCAATGTTCTTACCTACGAATTGTGACAACTTACACTGAAATTTAAATAAGATACAGAAACGTCATAATATTTTTAACTATAGCATGGTTCGAACTATTTAACGCCTATGCTAAATTTGATTAACATTCAATTATTCGTTATGTATATGTGCTACGTATATGCGTTACGTATACGTGTACTATACATTAATTAACGAAATCGATGTTTCAAATGTGTACTTTTTAATTTACTTAAATGATTTTTAATTATTGTATTAAGCATTATTAATAATTATGCCTTTAAAGGATAATTAGTTATTCGTTTTGCGTAATGATTAAGAAACGTAATTCATCTGTCATAATGGCAACACATTTTGCCCTCGCGTTTTTTTTTTATTTGTTTAATATTCGAAATTCAAATTTAATAAACAAATTAAATCAAACCTTTTTTACTTTTTAAAATTCCTTTTTATTTTTTTTATTTTTAAATTGTATAAATAAAGAAAATATAAAACTTATTTTTTTTTTTTTTTGAATTGAATTCAGATATTAATTGATAAGTTCACGTGCACTAAACAAATCGGCGAATATAAAAAGTATGTATAAAGATTTAAAATCAGTTCTGAAATTAAAAATTGAAATTAAGGTGGAAAAAGTAAAAAAAAAAAAAAAATAAATTTAAAATACAAAAGACGAAAATTTACACGAGACAGAAAATTTTTTTATTTTTAGAAAACTCATTTTAAAATAAAATTTTTATAGGAATTTTTATGGAAACTGGAATATGGTCGATTTTTCAGAATGCATAAGTAATATAATAAATTCGTTTCATCTATTAAAACCATACACAATTTTTAAATTATTATAGAAAATTAAAAATCATAAATTGTTCTCATATAAGTCTAGTCTTCTGTTTTGAAAACCTTATTTTGTGAATATTTTACAAGGTTAAATTGGAATTCCAAACGGATTTCCGCCGGAATTTATTTTGGTTGAATATTTATTTTTTTTCTATCTACTTGTAATAATATTTTTAACTTGATGTTAATATTAAATTGAATAAAATTTTGTTCTGAAATTAAATTTTATATTTCATAGAGTTTTATTAAGAATTATTATGTATTATTTTTGAAATATCTCAATTTTCAAATTGATCAACTAGTTAAGCTTACCAATAGTTTTAATTTGATTATAAATTGCGATAAAATTGTTTGGTGACCATAGACGCATAATCATTAGATAATGAAAAAATAAAATAAAATAAATTTTCTCAGAAAATTAAAAATTTTTTTATTAATATTTTTATTGAATAATTTTTGAAATGAAAACTTATTGCCTTGCAAAATTTTTATCTTTTATCTTTTAATGATAAGATAAATCATTTTGATAATTCATTTTTTTTTTTTTTTTTTTGCAATATGAACTTGAATGTTTTCTATAATATTTATATAAAAACTAACTCTTGACAGAAATGGAAAAACAAATTGTTATCTGTTTTAAGTCTAGTCATACATTCCACTTTTTAAAACAAAAATGTGATTGCAGTAAAAACGAAAACCAGAATCAGGTGTATATGGTCTACACTATATATAGTAACTAAAATACACAAGCATACATGCATTGTATATTTAAAAAAATCAATTGCAATTTTAATTAAAAAATAATTGTTGAAAAGGTGAATAGTTTTAATACTTGTTCACCTTAAAAGTTCTTATAAATTTGTAAAATGTTTTAATTTTGAAATTCAAATACTTGATAAATTTATTGTTATAGTATACAGAAAGAAGAAATGTTTTTTGTTTTTTTAAATTAGTCAAATCAACATTAAAATTAATATTGGGAAATTGTAACAACCATTTTTTTACTTATTTTGAAATTAAATTCAATTATAGAGAATTGAGAGAAATATATTATATATATATGTATATACTTAAAGAACCTGTTTTTCATATGTAATTAAGTAATTTGTAAGTTTATGAAATCATCAATGTAATTTACTCATTCGAATTCATTTTAAATTAATAGTAGATTATTAAATAACTTTTCTACTCTTATTGGATTTATATTTAATACACTGAAATATAAAATGTATTGTTACTGAGAAAGTAATGACTCCATTCTAATTTTGTATTTCTAAACTTGTATTTAATATATTTACAGTTTTTATAATGATATAAGACTATATTTCTGTTTGTATTTGTAAAGTTTTTTCGTTTTTAATTGGATATGAAGTTTTTGAATATTAATAGAATTTTGAACAAATTTTGTAATCACACAATAAATTTATCAATGAGCCACGCTACTTTCTTCGTCAAAATCGATTGTTTCGATTTAAAATATTAAAAGACACCTTTTTTTTACTAAAAACATAAACTTATATAAATTTAACTAGAAACTTAGAAATTGAATATTAATGAATATTGTAAAGAAAAATTTTTATATTTATGTTTAATTTGTTAAATTTTTCATTTAATAATTCAAATAATTTTTTAAGGTGGTCCATATGCTGTATTCGCTGGACGTGATGCATCTAGAGGTTTAGCGACATTTAATGTTACTGCCAATGACAGTGAAGAATATGATGATTTAAGTGATTTAAATTCTTCTGAAATGAGTAGTGTTAAAGAATGGGAAATGCAACTAAAAGGTAACAAATATATAATAATAATCTGTTCTATTTTTCTTCCTTACAATTTTTAAATAAAGGTTTGTATATTATATTTAGAAAATTAGAACTAATTTTTAAATCTAAATGAGAGACTGTCTTTTATACCTCTATATTTGAAAATTTTTTACATAAATTCTATTCTATTTTATTATATTAAAAGTGGTATTTAACTGTTATACTGTTATACTTATTTGTTATTCGAAATTTTCATTATAAATTATCTTTTACCAAAAAAATATTTTTTTTTTACTTTATATTTTAAAAGTTTTAATTTGTTGTTTTTGTTTTTTTTTTTGTTTTTAGAGCGATATGAATTTGTTGGAAAATTATTAAGGCCAGGTGAAAAACCAACAAATTATTCTGATGAAGATGAAGATGTACCAACATCAAAATCAAATGAAGATGAAAAAATTGATGAAATTGGTTCAAAACCGGCAACAACTACTGCAAATGTATCAACCGCACAATCATCTTCTGCATCAGCAGCGAATGAAGATAGTGAAGTTAGAAAGAGAATTACAACATTAGAAGACTAATTTTGTTTTTTTATTTATTTATATAAAAAACATAAAATCACAGAGAAAAAAAAAAATATAAAAAACAAAAACCAACATTCAATGTAAATTTTGTTTATTTTTTTTTTACTTTTTTTGTTTTGATTTTAATTGATGTACTATAAATGAATCGAAAATTCGCGAAGAGCTTATAAAATTAATAAGAGTATAAAAAAAATATTGAAAAAAGTTGTGTAAATCAAATGAAAATGAATTAATTAATTAAAGAAGAACAAAAAAGAAAAAAACAAAAAAAAAAATTTGGTTTCAAAAAGTGTGCTTTTGGCCTTCACAAACCATACTGTCACTATATTTCTTTTTTTTTTTTTTGCTTGTTTTTCTTTCTTTTTTACAAGAATATTTAAAATAAATATATAAAACTTTTTTTTTTTAAATATACTCGTTGAACATATTTTGTATACTTAAATCAAAAGCTTAATAAAATTTTTATTATAATTCTTTGAAAAAGAAAACACAGAACATAATATGATCTATGCTTATTCAAACTAAGAATATAAATAAGACTAAATAAAGATTCTATAAAAAAAATATATTGATTGATCCAATATTGTAATATTAAATTTTAAAAAATTTCATATTTTCAAATTTACTATTTTTGATTAATTTTTATTATCACACTTAAATTAACCTACATGAGGGGATTTTCGAAAATTCAGTTCTAACTTAAATCTTAATGTAAAGCATGTTCAATAAATTAAAACTACAATCTTTACTATAAAAGAAGCACATTCCAAAATAATAACGTGTGTTCTTTTAAATTTGGAATAATGAAAGAAACATGTAAGATATTAAAAATCTGAAAAAATTAACTAGTTAGTTCTTGTAGATTTTTAGTTTAGCAAGCAAAAATTTTTAAGATTTAAGTTAGATTTTTTAATGTATATCTTAAATTTTCCAAAAATCCTCGTAACACTCAACATATGTACATATTTCCAATCAGAACTGATTTTAGCTTCTATATATATGGTTTTAACACAAATGGAAATATAAAACAAAACAAAATAAATATAAAATTGTATGGTTATTGGTATTTACATGCATATATTAACTCTAATTAAAATTCATAATGTTCATTGTAAGTGTGGGCTTTTTCTAACTAACTTTATCAAAATAAAAATAAGAAAAATGTACTCATTTATTTAGATAATACACAATATATAAATAACACTTTATTTATTATATTTGTTTAAATAAAGTTTAAAAAACGCTGTGACTACATACATATTAACAAAATTATAATTTTTCTTTTTTGAAAAATTATAAAAATTAAAACAAATAAGAGTTGGAATTGTTTTACAAAAATTTTTACAATCTCAATTAACTACTACATAATATATTCAAATTAAAACTTTTTTTATTGAATTCATTTAAAATTTAATATAATCTATACAAAAAAAAAATATCAGGGATTATAATTCAATATTTTTTTTTTTAATAAATAAAAGTAGATCCTAGATTTCACTACACATTCTTGTCATAATTCTTGTCTTAAATCTTAACTGTAGTCATTATAACCATTTGAATAGTTTAATTATAAATAAAATTTATAATAAAAAAGGAATATTGTAATAATTATAAAGCTTTACAAAATAATAATTGTCTATACAACATAATAAAGAACATTTATTGAACATAATTTTCTAAAAAAAAAAAAAAAAACTCTTTAATTATGTTTCTATTACGTAAATAATATTATTTTCAAATTAAACAAATGATTAAAAAAAAACAATTACAAAAATGATTTTTTTACGTCGTTCAAAATTGAAAAAAAAAAAAACGCGAAAACTTTTAATAATTTGAGTAACTTTAAAATAAAAAGAATCAAAATTTAAAAATATATTAAAATATTTATTAAATAACTTTTGCTAATAAATTTAATACATAGAGAATTTTCGAAAAAAAAAAAAAATCAGTCGTTATTTATATCATTGCATAAAGCCGATTCGGTTAATTAAAATTGCAAGATCTTCAAATTTGGCATGTTCGGCTAAGGGAGAACTTCAAGTATATATCTGAATTATTGAAAATCTCCTTAGATTACTAAGTATAATTTAAATATAATAAAGCAAGGTTATGTATGTAATAATTAAAATATAGAAAATTAATGAAAATATTTCATGAAAATTTAAATAATTGCAATTGTAAATGTTAAAAATATTAAACGTATTAAGTTTCGCCGAATGCAACACAATTATAAATTCATTAATTAGATTATTGACATTCACTATTATTTTGATTATCTTTCAAAAAACTTAAACTTGTTAAATTTATAAATTTTATTATAAATTCATTACACATTTGGTGTCTTTTCGCTAATTTATGTCATAGACATAAATGCATTATTATAAAAAAATAATAAATTTAAATATTTTATTTCATTACTTTGTGCGGCCGTGGTAATTAAGTATTTTTTTTTTTCTATTTTTGAATTAGTAGTCTGAAATGAATCTTGAAAAATGTTATGATTACTATTTAATTAAAAATGAATCTTGAAAAATGTTATGATTACTATTTAATTAAAAAATTTATTATTTTTTATGCATAATCCGATAAATTATATATGCAAAAAAATTTATAGCTTACGCTTAGTGAATTTTCGTTGATTTTCAAATTACAAAAATAAAGGAAAAAAAATATATTTTTAAAAAATCTAATTCTGCCTAATAATTAAAAAGAAATTATTATTATGCTCAGCTCAGCTATTATCGTTATGTTTTAAAGCCTTGCAAAATATAATTAGTTTTTAAATTATTTTATTAGCAAGATCATGAAAAAAAAAAAACATAAATTAAAAATTAATTATGCTCAGTTGAAAATTTTAAAATATTAAAATGTTTTAATCTATTATATGAAAAATAAATTTTTAATAATGTAAATAAAATAAGATTGTAAAATAAAGGATTAATTTATGAAAAAAAAAGGAAATTATATAAAGTAATAAAATGAGAACTTCCATGTATGTGCATATGTATGTATGTACTTTAAATATGTATTTTATTTTTTATTTTCATTTTAATATCTAATTATTCTTAGTGAACAAAATTTATTATTAATATTACTAATAAATTCAAAATTATTTCTATTCTATGTTAGATAAAACACTTAAAAATACAAAATTAAATTTTATTTTTGTATAAAAAATAAAAGCAACAATAAAAAAAACAATATTATTTCGATTCAGTACTTTAAAAAGCAAAATTTCATTTAAATAAATTCAAAATATCAAACAACAAAACAGAATTACAAATATTATAAAATTATTAATTTAATTTTTTAAATAAATAACAATAAATAAATATAAAAATATGGTCCCCTATTATAATATTTCTTATATTTTTTATCTTAGTAATTTAAGCGCCTGTTGACTTACTTTAAAATAATAATTTTTACTTTTAATTAATTATCTACAATATAAAAAAAATTATAGATTAGGGTCCTAATGCACCAAGTATTTTTACTTTTACTTTTGTTACCACTTTTGTATTTTTTAAATGAAAAAAAAAAACTTTTATTGCTATAATTCATTAGCGTTTTGACTTAGAGGTGCAACAGAAACTTTTGCAAATTTTTGATTATTTGATTAAACAAAAATGGTAAAAAGTGGTTGGTGCATTAGGACCCTAAAAGTTTTTTAAGTTGAAAAATAATGTTAAAGATGAGGCAACAACAATTTCATAATTTGAATTGAAACTAGTAAGTATAGACCACAAAAACAAAAAAAAATATTATTGGCAAAGATAAAAATATAATTAATTATGATTAAAATATGGTATGGAAAATTTAAAAAAAAAAAAAAAAAAGAAATTAAATATAAAAACCAATAGATAGATTAAACTTATAAGCAAAAGTTAAAATAAAAATCTATAAAATATTAACAAAAATAATAAAAAATTTTTTATTTTATATTTATGTATGTAAATGTATATGTTACTTGAAATGTGGTTCAGGATATAAGATGAAAATAAATTATTAACTATTATAATACACAATATACATAATATTATATACAAAATATTGTAATTGTAAAAGAAAAATATGGGAGATGAAAATTATTATTTCCCAAAAAATTAGATTTTAAATACATATGATTTTTGAATAAAAACAATTTTTCTTTGTTTGTTAATGCATGCGACAGACTATTTTCTAATCAGACATGGAATGAGTTAGAAGATTAAGTTGTACAAACAATAATTTTGTTAAATACTAAACTTAAACAACTACATTTTCAGAAAAATCCTTAGTTTCTCTTAAACATTAAAATTTGATGAATAAAAATATAAAAGTTGGATCTTTGCATCTTAAGACTTGTAAAACGGTATTAATATATAATACAGGTTATGTGTCATAATTGCTGAATTTTTTTCCGAATATTATGGACACAACAAGATGTGTATATCACTTATAAAATAAATGTGATATAAACGTATCACCAAGTATTTTTAATTATTCACGAAATTAAAATAAACTTATTCCAAAATCTTATAAAATTTTTTTTGCATAACTTCTCTGTTTCTTCATTTAGACATCCAAAAAAAAAAGAATTATAAAACTCAAATACATAATTGTTTTTAAAATAACATTAAAGAAACGCATACCTATGTTCTTGTACACAATAAAATGTTAACATTGACTCCATTATATGTGGGTAATCTTTTAAAATTTTAAAATTTTTAAATTACAAATAAGTGCATGGAACAGTTTCAAATTGAATTCATTCCATTCCAAGTTTATTTCATGTGAATTTACAAAAACTGAAACGATTAGAATATTGTCAAATTTGAAACGTCAAATTTTTATGATATCCACGAATGTCATTTGTTACCTGTTTGGTGTGGTGTACTGCGAGTGGATTCGATTTATCCAAATCAAAAGAATTTATGTATTTGAAATACATAAATTAGAAAAATATAATTCAAGCGAATAGTAATTTTGTTTTTTAATTTAAGTAAGTAAAAAAATAAGTTTTCTTTTCTTTCTGGAAAAATTGGTTTTCTGCTTAAACGAATTTCATATTACATAATATTTTACGGTTTCGCTTGTCATAACCAATTAATTTGCTGTAATTTTTAGGAATCAACAAAACCATTCGAAATAAACATGCAAAGAGCTGTCACTAAATCTACTGGTATTTTAATGCCAATAGTTCAAAATGTTGTCCAAAACCAACAGCAACAACAACGTGGTATGGCGACTTTAAAAGCTATTTCAATTCGTTTGAAGTCAGTCAAAAACATCCAAAAAATTACGCAATCCATGAAGATGGTGTCAGCTGCCAAATATGCCAGAGCAGAACGTGATTTAAAACAAGCCAGACCATATGGTGTTGGAGCCCAGCAATTTTTTGAAAAAGCTGAAGTTCAACCAGACGAAAAAGCTGAGCCAAAAAGATTGTTAATCGCAATGACATCAGACAGAGGTTTGTGTGGTGCTGTACATACAGGTGTTGCACGTACAATTCGTAATGACTTAGCTGGTGGTAACGAAGGCAATACAAAAGTTATTTGCGTTGGAGATAAATCTCGTGGTATCTTGCAACGTCTCTATGGAAAAAATATCATATTGGTGGCAAATGAAATTGGTAGACTGCCACCCACATTTTTGGACGCTTCAAAAATTGCACACGAAATTTTAAAAAGTGGCTATGAGTTTACTGAAGCGAAAATCATTTATAATAAATTTAAATCAGTTGTTTCATATAATTTGTCATCAATGCCATTTTACAGCACTCAAGTTGTTGAATCAGCTGGGAAATTGTCAGTTTACGATTCATTGGATTCTGATGTGATTCAAAATTATTTAGAATTTTCATTAGCTTCGTTAATTTTTTATGCTTTGAAAGAAGGCGCTTGCTCCGAACAATCATCACGTATGACTGCTATGGACAATGCATCCAAAAATGCAGGTGAAATGATTGATAAACTTACTCTCACCTTTAACCGCACCAGACAGGCTGTCATTACTAGAGAATTGATTGAAATTATTTCTGGTGCTTCAGCTTTGGAAACTGATGACTAAGTTAACTAGCTTCTGCCATTTATAACATGGTTTTCGGGTTTAAATTTTTATTATTTGGAAAGTTTAAACCAAAAACTTTAGTAAAGTTTAAAAACCATATTGTTATAATTAAATTGATTCCAACAAATTTAAATTGTATTAAATTTTAAAGAAATAAAGATCATGGATGAAACCATATTAAAGAAAAGAATATTTTTATTTATTCAAAATAGTAAGAATATTCAAAGGAACTTTTGGTTTTTAAAAATATTTCATTTTAGAAACTGAAAATTGGTACCTATATCTTTTATATTTGCAAATGGAAGTGGTTGCAATCATACAAGTCATATATGTATTCTTCCCATATTAAAAAGATTAAAGCAATTTTTTTGACATGGGATCCTAAATTTAATAGAAATCAAAAAATTATATTTGATAAGGTACATATTTATTATAAGAGAAAACTTAATATGATTAAATAAACATGTTCGGTTTTCGTATCACCCAATAATTGGGAAAAGAAAGTCAACATTTTCGATTTATATATTTGATTCAACTAATTTATTTCCTATACCACATTTGTAAGGTTCTCATTCTTTTAACTTTTTTCTGCAATTGCAATACTCCATACATTAACGCTTCAGCTGTTGGTGGACAACCGGGGACATAAATGTCAACAGGAATTATACGATCACAACCTCTTACTACAGAATATGAATAATGATAATAACCTCCACCATTAGCGCAACTTCCCATTGAGATAACCCATCTTGGTTCCGGCATTTGATCATACACTTTTCGTAGGGCTGGTGCCATTTTATTTGTTAATGTTCCGGCAACAATTATAACATCAGCTTGACGTGGGGAAGCTCTGAATACAACACCATATCGATCCATATCATATCTTGGAGCAGCTATATGCATCATTTCTACAGCACAGCAAGCCAATCCGAATGTTAATGGCCATATTGAACCTTTTCTGCCCCAATTTAGTAAATCATCTAAACGAGCTAGTGCCCACTCTGCACTACTTTTTTGTTGCGTTCCAAACGGTGAATACCCCTTTTTAGGTAACGGATTGTCTGGATTTACAACCGGCATAGTTTGGTTTCTCTTTGCCAAAGCAACATTTAATGCAGGTCCCATTGAACCTTTCAACAATGAGTTAATATCATTCGTTGCTAATAATTTGGGGGCATTGTTTAAACGACAAACTGCAGAACGCAACATGCTGAAAAAGAACTACGTTATATAATACCGTTAAACTATATCTTAAAAATATTTACGTTAAATATACGTCTTAATTTTTTGGTATATTTTTACCAAAATATGAAAATTTAAGTATATTTCAAAACTTATTTATGTAACTTCAATATTTTGCAAAAAAACGTCATAGTAGTTGCTGCTTTAAATTTATTATTCTTCATATGTCATTGTGTCATATGTTTTGACACATGATAGTGCCATATGCCAATTTTTATTTTAACACACTTAAACGATATCAGTAGTTTGCACAAGAGTTTTTCACTACCAAATTAATTTTAAAACAATTAGTTATTTTCTTATCAATATAGGAATAAATAATTTTGTATTTCAACTATATGGTCAATAATTTGCTAGATTACAGAAGTATTAATTTCACATCTCCAATTGAGAATAACGCTATGGAAATGACACTATGGTAAATGGGAACTGCTTGTGTTTCAAATCCAATTTTTCTTATGTCAAAACTTTTCTGTAATTCTGTACGTTCAGTGTGTCATTTTCCTTAACAAAAATATAAAATAAATTTTCACTTTTTATTCAGAGAATTCTTTAATATATAAACACTATATTTTTTAATTAAAATGAAATAAAATTGCAACAAATCAAAAGTATTTGATTTTTGTTAAATGCTGTACATCATGAAACGCGAATTGTTTGGTAAGAGAGGCTGCCTACGTATGTACATAGTTGATCTATTTTTTATCTTGCCGATTTTGGATAGTTTTTTTTCCCTATATTTCGTATTGGGTATTGCACTTTCTAAAAGAAATTCCTACAAAATATATATAACAAATTACATATTCATATACAAGACATTTATAAGATCCCCATTTATGTTTTAAAGCGAAAAACTTTTAACTTATCCTTTATATTTAATTTTCAATACAGCTCGAGCAGGTAGAAGTCGCTTTCTGATTGGGATTGGCATTTTTATAATTACTATTGGATTCTTGGTAATTTTCAATAACTCACAACAACAGTTGGATGAAAGCCGTATTCTAAGATTAAGGTGCGAGCAGCAACATGATGCTTTAAATGCTCGTTTACAAGCAATAATTGATCACAAATTTAGCCTAGAAAAAAACTTAGAAAAAGAACGAAAAGAGCACTTAGAAACTAAAAAATTTTTAGAATTGAAAGTTAAAGCTGCAAAAGAAAATTCCGTAAAACAGACGCAAGACTCGAGTGCGCGGTTCGACTCATTGCAACAACATTATAAATTGTTACAAAGCGAGCATAATGACTTAGTTGAAGATTGTGCCAAAACTAAAAAAAATCAACTTGAGCAAATTAATATGCTAGAGCGCAAAGTAAAATCATTGCAAAACCAAAATCAATTAACGAAAACTAATAAAGAAAAAGAAATTGAAGAATGGAAGGTGTGTTATTACTCTTCGTAAAGTGTAATTATAATTAAATGTATGTATGTCCTTTTGATTTCAGCTTAAATATCAAACATTACAACATGAAAAAGAACGGCTGGATATACTTTTGAAAACAACGCGTTCATCTGAAAGTTGTCAAAAACAAAATGAACATTTTCAAACCATCATCAAGGATTATAAAGCTAATTGCGATTATCAGCCTATTGAAAAGTTAGGGCCGTCGGTGCCAGCTGTTTTACCGATCCCGGCAGCGATATCTTCTCACCAGCATAACCATTTTATAGCATCAAATGAAAAATTTGACAAAGACACAATTAATAAGGTTGAAAAATCTTTTAAGGAACAACAGATTGTGAGCGAAAATCTTTATAAAATTCCGATAATCATTACTAACAAAACTTATGCCACTACTACTAGTACCACTATAGCTCCGCTTATATTAAATACACCCTTAAATACTAATAAATTAGAAAATTTGGCTGAGGACAGTTATAAAAAAACGCTTGATAGTCCTATTAGTTATATTTTAAATAGTTTTAAATATAAAGGTAAAGTAGGAGTGGATTCAGCTATAATTAACTCTGTTGAAAATTTTCAGATAGCACCAAAACCTTTAATTGAATCTTCCGCTGATAATGATGCGAAAAATAATAAAAATAGTCCCAATAACGCTGGTTTTCAACAACCTCCACCTCTGAATATGCCTGTTGGATCTTCATCTACGTCTACACAATCCGGCATTAAGAATGGTAAATTTATTACGACCATCTTGTAAATAATATTCTAAAGATGCTATTTTTATTTCTTTTTTAGAAAAACGTGCTTTATCTGTGGCAAGTTTGTCTAGTCAAAAGGGTCTTCTGGGTGGGAGTACTTCAAGTAGTACAACAACTGCAAGTAATCGGCTTAAAGAACCTGGCGTTCATCCCATAAAAGTAAAGCAATTACCAAAAGGTGTAGCACCAGTTCCTGAAAATTTTGATGTTCTTTTAAAGAACAATCAAGATGAAAGTGACCCATTGAAGGATAAAACGAAGAAAGTAAGTGATGAAGAAACAAATGGAGATGATAATGCGGGTGGAGAAACGAAAGATACTGGTGATTTAAATGGGGCAAATAATCGATACGCAAATGTCGTTGACGATTTTCCAAATGCTGGTGTTGGACCAGAACCTGACTCAAATAAAAAAGATGAAGAAGATAATGCTGCTCATGAAATGAAAGACACGGATTTTGGTGAAGAGGGAAAGGATCATTTACAACAGGCTTTAGATAATGTAAATAATGCCGCTGAAGATGACAATCAAAATAACTTTTATGATACAAAAGTTGGTCACCAAAACAAAAAACATGATGGTTTAGATTTGATTGACAATATGGTAGATGGCGAAAGTGATATAATTGGTCATTTACATCAAAGTCGGAACAAACATGATCATGGTGTTGGTAATAAAGATGAGGGAATTTTAAATGCGAATGATAAATTAATTAATGAAGTTGTTGGGGATCAAGGAAAAGAGCAAGCTTTTCCAGACGGAATGCATTTAGAAGAACAAAATGAAGAAGACGAAGATGGTAAGTAATTTACAGAACTGATATTTTTATTAACAAATTATTGTTTTTACAAGAATAATTTATTAATAATAATGAGATCAATAACAAAAGCTTTTGAAATGAAATATACATATATATACCAACGTAAACTTATTTTGCAGAAGATGATTATTCTATGTTAGCAGCAAGAAAGCTTGTTGGAGCGGCAATACGAAATTAAAAAAAAAAATAGTTGTTAAAATCTCCATGAATTTAACTGTAAGAATTTGTTTAACAAATTTTAATTCGGTAATGAAAATTAATATTTTGTAAATATTTTCTATATAAGATAGAATCCTTATAATTATTTTTTAAAATATAAAAGATAATGGTAGAAAAGAAAAGTAAATTGAAAGAAATCAATATTTTATATGATTCATGAGCAATTTAGGAAATTTTAAATTGAAAAATAATTTTTTTTATGGTCTCTTCAAATTGGTATTATTTTCATTTAACAATTTTCATCTAACTTTCTATATGTGAGAGATTTCGGTTTTCTGTGATATTATTATTTATTTTACATATGTTTTAAAATAATGTAAAAAAGAATTTGTAACATGGTTTGTCCTTTTGTATACATGTGCTTTTAAATTAATTTTATTTACCATTTTATTTTAATTTATTAAATTCACATTTTTTTTTAATCGCACTTTTCTGAAAGTATAAAAATAAAAAGAGGAACAAAAAAACGTATAAACTAAAAATTGTTTTTAGGACTTAAATTTCGGTAATAGCTATTTGTTGTAATAAAGATAGACTTTTGAGGAAATCGTTAGATACGCACAAATATACAAATTTTAAAATCTATTCTAATATTGTTTCACTTTATTTATTTCTCCAAATATTCTTCAAAATTAATGATTTCATCTTGTATTATAGGCTAAATAATTTTTTTTTCTTAATTTTTCTTAATTTAAAAGGTAAGTCTAAGAAGTATCTAATTTTCAAATTGTGTTTGTTTTTGATACTATATTCTCTTAACTATTACAGAATCAAAAATTAAATATTTATATATATATTTGGTGTATTACAATTTTTATCATCTTCACAAAAAGTCCAACTAATTTGAGATTCTAGGACAACTAATTTGAGATTCATTTCTAATAGGGCACATTTCTTATTGATGCACAACTTATATAATTTTGCACATTTTTATAGATGTCTCTATCATAATTTTGTGATATTTGTTTATCATATTTATAAAAATAGAATCTTATACGATAGACTAATCAAAGAATATTTTGGAATTTTAAAAAAATTAAGCGCAAAATTATTTTCCTAAGCAGGATTTTTATTCTTCTAAGAAACACTTGTAATAAATTCAATTTAACTACACATGTAACTATTTTTAAAATTACAATAAGTAATTTATTATGTGTTTAAAATTAATAATTTAACAACATTACAATCATGAAAATCATTAGTAATATTCAGAAATCATAAACCACTCTATATTTTCTGGTACGTATAGGATAAAAAATAAAATACAAAATAATTTCTGTGCCAACCAAAAGAATTTCATGTTTCGAAGGCTTAAATATTTTTACAAATTTATGTTACTTTTTTAAAAAATTCAAATGATTTACTTAAGATTATACATTTTTACTTATCTTAAGTAATTCATATGATTTACTTAAGATGTGTAAAAGTGTATAATAAAAATATTATACACTTTTACTTACACGGGAAGATTTTGTAATTTAATTTGTCACATGCATATGTACCAGGAGATATGTATAATTTAATTTATATCAAGAAATAGAAAGAGCTTTATGGTTAATAATATTAAAAAAAACGTGAAGAATATGAGAAATATATAATTAATTATAAAATGTGTGCCGAAATTTTAAAACAAAAACTACATACCTAAAGTTTAATTTGTTACATTATTTTAAAATTCATAAAATTATTAATATTACAATAATTCTATTCGAATTTGTATTCCTTTTTATTACATAAGTTATGAACTAAAAGTTATATTTATTTAGGTTATATTATTTTTGAATATAATACAAAAGATAATTCTCTACTTGTTTTAGTTATTGTAATTTTATTATATGTAAGTCTTAGATGATAAGCCCGTGTTCTTTTTCAATCTAAAATAAAAAACAAAAATTATGTATCATGAATTATTTTTATAGTTCTTGTGCTTAAATTCATTCACTCATAAGTAGGTAAATATTCTGAAAAAAAAAGAAATTAATTCAATATATTTTTGAGCTCAAAATAGATATTGTGAATAATTATAAAATTGTAAGAAATATAATAACTACATGAAAAATTTACATATAAAATGTAAAATATTTCAAAAAGAAATTTTTTGAAATATGAAGGGAAAAATTACAAAAACACAGAGCTCAAACCATTATTAACATTCATACAAAATAATGTAATAATAAAAATGTAAATGTATTCATTTATGCAATATAAAATAATTACTATTTAAGTTTTAATTAAAATTTTCATTGGTTTTTTTTTCCTAAATACATACATATTTACATAAGTTTTTAGTAAAAATATAAAAAAGAATTTTTTTTCTAGTTTTTGCTTATTTGGAAATAAAAGTTATTTAAAATTTATAGTTTAATATTTCGTTGGCCATAAACCTAAGTTTGATAAGGTTTATAGTCTCAAATAAATAAACGATATTTCTTAAAATTTGGAAAGAAATAAAATTTTAACTTCAAAATTGATACTTACAGTACTTTGATATGGTATTTATACAATTAGAATATGGAAATGTGTAGCAACAAACATTTTATTCAAATTCGAATTCATGGAAAGACTTAAATCTTCAAAATTCCAAAACTCAAAACCCCAAAATATTGTTCAATTTAACGGTTAAGTGTGATAGTCACTTAATTTAAAGAAAAAGATGTCTGATTAAGCGTTTTTGTATAACATAAAATTTGAGTATTTAAAGTGTTTAGATTCAATGTGTATGAAATGCATATAAACACCTAAATAGTTCAAAAAATGAGCTCAGTATACTTTTTTTTTCTTTTTTTTCCCATGAAAATTGTATAATTTTTTAAGAAGCCGTATTGATTTTGACGTTGTCAAAATATAACTTTTTTAATCAAGTAAAACTAGCACCAACTACGTTTGTCATTTATTAAAATATAATTGACTTATTCTTTAATTTTTGCTTCGAGGAGATAATAGAACAAAAATATGCTACAGTAATAGTAATTAAGACATACATGAATACCTATAAATCCTAATTCTAACGTTTTGGAAACTTCCTTTGCCTTAAGAAAACGCTATTGCAAAAACAATAGCTTTATTTTGAGATCCCGATTTTTGCTCAAAAGTTCAACTCAACAGTAATGAAACAAGTAATAATGTTCCACCATAACTTTCGTCTCAAAATTTACAAGTTAGCCTATATTATTCTTGAAAAAAAACTAAAAACGTAAATGTAGTACTCAATCTTCTTAATGAAAGTTTAAAAAGAAACAAGAATTTTGTGTGAACACCATATCATCATCATAATCTTCCTTTTTATATTTGTGGTGCACTAATATTTCAAAATATTATACATATGAAAGTGCTAACAACATAGTGAAAAAAAAGTGGAAAAAAGAACTTATATTTGCAGATTCAGTTTATTGTTTGATGCAGAATGTCAAAATGAAGTATTGATTATATTCTGACACTGGAGCTAGAATTGGTACTATAACGTATATTCGTGCATAATACTTTATTTATCTAGTCTTTAACAAATATTATGAAACGCCAACTAAAGGCCAACCAGAATCACATAAAAGTGCATAATGTGTAAACGTCAAATGGCACATAATATGCATAGTTTCTTTTTTATGAATTAAAATATATTTTCAGCAGTGTAACTGACAGATTAAACAGGATGAACACTGTTCAAAACATTTACATAAAATTAATGTTTTTTTGTAAATATTTTGAACAATATGCGGCCGATTTTTATCTTGATTATAATTACCATAGAAAATAGTTAAAATTTGACGTAAAATCTGAATTCCATCCGATTATTTCAATTTGAAATGTATTCAGTTTTTATACTTTATCATAGATTTTATCTTAGTTTTTCTCATATATGTATGTAGACAATTTAGTAATTTGACAATAATTTATTTTCTTGTTTGAAATAATAATGAATGCATACATAATTTCTGAACAGTTCCAAAAAGAACGTTATTATGTAAACACTAATGTTACCGGCGCAAAAGCAATCGAAATCGAATGTGTGAGTGAAATAAAAATACGCAATTTGAAAGAAAAAAAAAACATTTACACAGATTGACTTTTCAGTCTACGCCATATTTTGTTAAAAAAAAAGTATCTTATGATGGCAAAGGTGAGCAAAATTAAAATTTTTTCCATAAAATTTTAAATTAAATTTTGTGAAAACATTAAAATATAAAAATTGAATAATACAATAGTATAAGTGCATTAAAGTTGATCAAAAGAATACTTTAAATTACAATGAAAATAATTTTTTTTCCTATTAAGAAAAAAAAAAAGTTCTAAAGAGTCAAGGAAGCGCATAAATTTTTGTGTAGAATTTTGCAGGGTTCTAATTAGTTCTCATGTATTGGAAAATTTTTAAAATCGTCTTTTTTTTTTTAAATACCCGAGCAGTAATAAAGAAATTTAATTAAGTATTTAAATAGTATTTTAAGTTCAAAGTTTTTTTTTTTTTTAGTTACATGCTTAAAAAAAGGAAGATATGTATTAAAAAATTTTTTTTCAAGGACACGAGGTGGAACCAGACACGAGTATATGTATTTAACTAATGTGTATATATATATGTATATATATTTCTACCTATATTTTAATATGTATAGCCTATTACGAGATTTACAAAGGGAAGAATTAAAATAGTATGTGGGTTTGTAAATACATAACTACACATTCTATATTTATATATGAATAAATATGTATGTATAAAGTAGGTACCATATTTATAAATATTAATATAGAAATATAAATTGGGTATATTAAAGATAACTAGTGTAATAAGAAGGAATAAATTGTGTTAGACGGTATCTGCATTGCGCATTTTTGTCGTGTAAAAAAAAAAATTGTAAATGGAAAAAATTTCGTTCATTTCTTTTTTTCTTACTTTATTAATATTATTTTGAAAAATGTTATTTTAATTCATCATAAATTTTTTATAAAAAAAAAATTTGATGTTCATCTATGTAATTTGGAAAATTTAGTAGAACATTTTTTCACTTACACAAAAATTTAAATAGCGTTTATTTTTTTTTATGCGCATTTAGTGGCAGACACCATGACGTGCAATAAATAAAATAAAAAAAATTAATAAAAAGTGAATAGATATATTTAAAGGAGTAAATGAAGAAAAAAAAATAAATATTAAAAAAAATCGGAATGCTCTATTCCATAATTATGTACGTATGAAGGTACATGTGTACCTTTGTATCTAAAAAAAATATAAAATTTTTTGTTTATATTTAAATATATGTATCCAAAATATAACACATGCTAGACAGAACCTCTTCCTATCTATTTAAAAATCCAGTTTAGAAGAAAATGAAAATATTCTAGCTTTATTTATTTATAGGTAGGTAGGTTGGGTAGGTAGGTACCTATATAAAATATTCTCAAAAATTTTAAGTGCTTTAATTTTTGAAAATAATTGAACTACATACCAAATATCTAATTTTCTTGAAATCCGAAAATAAAAATTTCCAATAGTTGAACCAGCTATTGAGAAAAATCTTTATTTTGAACAGAAAAAAGAAAAACAAAAAAAAAACTGCACATAGTTGGTACTAATATCAAAATAATAAAAAAAGCATAGGAGAAAAACCAAAACATCTCGTGAAAAAATTTAGCTTTTTTTTTTGATTTTTCTTTTATATCCATACATTGTATATATATATATATATATATTTTTAATATAATATACAAATATATAATAATATACATTTTTATATAGGATTAGTATCGAACTATACAAACATTAACAATAGTTTAGCTGATATTTCTTGATTGACTATATCGCACATAATGTTAATATGTATATAAGTATGTTGTTACAACGTGTCAATTTTAAGGCGGGAAATCAATTTGTATGTATGTAGATTGAAGTTTCAATAATATCACATGGTATACACAGAATTATAAGCAAGATATTAAATATTATTCTAAAGTATAAATTTTATTTTAAATTATTAGAAATAATGTCCGTACATCCATAGAAGGTTTATAATTTTAAATATTAAGTTAAAATGTAAAACCAATATATATGTACGCATACCATGTATAATATACTTACCTAGTACAATGGGGTAGACATTATTTAAATCGCCAATTGTTACAAAAAGTTATGAACTAATTATGTATGTATTTTGTAATTTTATTTTATATATACATATATGTACTTATGTAAATGTTATCTTTGCGAAATATTAAATTTTCATTAATATTTTTTTAAGTAAATCGAAAATAATATATGTATACATACCTATATGTATGCTTAATTGAATTGAACCTACAAAAAACTACCGAACTAAATTTGTAGTATGTCAAAATGATGTAGGAGCTCATCCTTTTAATATGCGCAATTTTAATGCTCTTGGTTTTTTTAACTGTTAATATTTTTACATTTTGTATTTTGGTTTTTTTTTAAATTGTCAATTCCTATAAAGTGAGAGACATTATATAAAATAACTAAATAGGTATAACTTCTATCTGCATAATATAAGTACAATTAAAGATTTATTTTTTTAAGATGTTTTAATAAAATGTTTTTTACATTGTAATATTTTTTCTCTACTTTTTTCATACTTTTAAAATAAATTTTTAATATTTAATTTTTTATATACAAATTTTAATTTGCTAAATTCATAATATAGATAGGTAGGTCTATTTACCTTCGTATTTTTTTTATCCAGGTAAATAGATCTGGGAATATGGTCAATTAAATTGAATAATATATTTTACGGAATTTCATAATAAAAAAAAATACGTGTATATTTTTTTTTAATATTAGATTTTTAAGTTAAGTTGTGTATTTTTTTTTTGTGTTAAATAAATGTTTAGCCTAAACTTTAGAGTAAAATTTAGCAATCTTATCTGTTAAAATACATTCTATTAAAGATAAGATTTCGTTAATACGAAAAAATTGTTTAGAAGTTCTTATCTAAAATAAAAAGCTTTAAAAAATATTGACTGATTCATTTGATACATTATGTATGTGCATATATGTAAATATATTTAAGGGGATGTAGATTACTTTTGTTATACGTTATTGCAACTTGGAATGTTAAATATGTGTGTTCTAAATAAATTAGATACAACATGCTAGTATTAATTTATAGTTATTTAGAAACTAATTATTTGAATTTATACCATGAATCTAATGGCGATTCACTACTCTGGTTAGAATAAATTCACCGCATTAATAACTTTCTACGGACTATTGAAATTATTTTTTAGTTAAATTAAAATTTTTCAATAAGTATCTACCCAGGTCTTTTTTGTTCCTGTTTTTTTTTTTTTTTTCTTATTTTTATATATTACGGGAAAAAACCAGCTCAATTTAGTATATTATTAGGGAAATGCACATTTAAAGGCATAATTGCTTTTTTTTAAGTTCTAACCCTAGATCTGTATTTATAGATCTTCAATAATTGAAAATTTAATTTTGGCAGATTTGTAATGTCTTAAAATCAACTTTTTGTTATTATTGGTTATGTAGGTAGCTTGAATTATATTCGTTAATTGAAGGTATAAATGTAACCAATAGCAACAAGTTATTATTTCTATGTTATAATTTTTTTCAAACTTGAAATAATTATTTTTTTTTAACAATTTTTTTAAAATTTAAAGAATGCCACGATTTTCGAAAATTAATGAACATGTTTTATATTAGTTTTTAAGTTAGCACTGAATTATTGAAAATTTCCATTATTTTCTTCATATAGTTGATATTATTATATTATTTTGATATCTTTTTGTAATTACATTTACTGTTCGTAAATTGTGATTTAAATAAAAAAGAAATCGTAAAAGGAAACTCAATTTTGTAGGCGAATGCCTTATGCTAACCATGGTAGTACCCATATATTTTATACCTATTAAGTCATCAAACTTAAATAGTTTTTCCAAATTTTTCGAAGTAACGAAGTTTACAAAAAAATGTTTTGTATTTGGAAATGTTCCGATTGAAATATTCTTGTTCAATTTTTGAGAATTCTTATTTTATTTAGGATGTTTTTAAATGCCATTAAAAATAATTAAAAAAAAAGAATTCATTAGATGAATCCACGCGTTATTAACTAGAGTAGTTCAATGGGTTATTAGTAAGATCTCCGACACACGCTACATATGCGACATACTTATGTATGATATGCTCACTTCAACAAATACTGGCTTTCTATCCATATATGCACATACACAATATGTACATTCATATGTAATTTATTTTAATTTTAAAACGTAACTAAATTTTGTTCTAAACAAAAACTTCTAACACTAATTTTTCTGTATGTATATACATACCTACTTACTTAAGATTTCAAATCATTTATAACATTCCCTGACATCCAAAATGCACTATGTAGTACTATATTTTGTATCTGTGATCCAAATTATACAGTTATTTTTAAAGTTCATGGCTTATGTACCTCTGGCATCGCAAGTAATAATACCGTATCGATACACGATAGGCATTTATAAGTTGATTATAAACGGTGTTGTTGCAATTCCGATCTTAGAGCACATTTGCATGTGTTGGCTATTTGAAATTTAAAATTTTTGTATTGTATTTTAATAATTTCAAGTTATTTGCATTTGAGAAAAAAACTCAGTTTGTATAGTTATTATTACCATGACTACAATAATTCTCTAAATAACAATTTTAAATTTAATATTGAATAATTTTAATTCTTTTTTTCAAATTCCAGACTTTGGGTGAGACTGTTCACTAGGGCCTAGAAGAAATTTAAATAAATTCAAAAATAAGATATAAATATATAGTTGACACTACTGTTATAAAAGAAAATCTCAGGAAATATAAAAGAAATTAAAATTAAACCAAAAATTTAAAGAAAAAAATTTTAAATTTTAAAAATTTTTTAAGGGAAATCGTGATTTTTATTAAGAAATTATTTATAAAAATAACAAAATACTTGTAATCAAATATTTTTTTAATAAAAATATAATTTACACAAAAATTTAATATTTACAAAAAAAAAAAAAAAAACAAAAATTTTTTTTAAAAATATTTAAAAAATAAATATATATATATATTTATGTATATTTTCCAAAAGTTTTTAAATTTGCAAATACCATAAAAGAAACAGTGAGTGTGTTTTAAGAATAAATTTTTTTAAATATAAAAAAATTAAAAAATTTATTTGAGTGCAAATTTTATTGTTAATTTTCATATTTTATTTTTTTCATGTGAATTTAATTTTTAAAGTAATTTCAAATTTCGAAAGATCTGTATTCAAAGTGTCTTCGCTAATCAAATCTAATAATCAACACGCCGCTTTATTGAACTCTAAGAAAAAGAAATAAAAACGCATCAACTTAATTACAATTTGATTTCGAAAATATAAAAAACATAAAAAATTGCTATTTTTCCTGTTTGTTCAAAGAATTTTCCGTTTATTTGTTTTATTTTATTTTTTTTTGTTTTATATTCCAATAAATTATTAAATAAACAAAAAGTTGTATTCAACTTATGGCATCATTAACTGAAGAAATATCGAATAATTTACAAATTAATATTGAAGAGGATTTAAACTCTTTGAATAATTTAAATAAAACTGACAATAATAAAGCTACTATTACTGCTGATAATAATATAATAACGCCGATAGCCACGTCATCGACGATTACTCCTACAATTGCTATTACTACAACTATAAATACTTCAACTAATAATACACCCTTAAATAATACCAGTATTCCTATATTGTCGGCTGAATCCAGTTTTAATTCAAATAAAAAAGAAGAACAACAAGAAGAATCATCGATTAATTCCTTAACTGTTCCTGATACAAATAATACTACTATAACAACTACTTCGATTATACCTGTTGCAAATTCTATTAACATTTCTACTGCTACTGCTGCTGTTGTTTCTTCAACTATTGCTGTCACCAATAATTTAAATTCCTTTGATAAAAACAATATTAATAGCACTTCTAATAGCAATAGCAATAATATCAACACAGAAACATCTAATATAATTGAAATTGTTGAAACCGATATAAATAATTTGAGTCTTTCTGATACAAAAAATATATCAGACAATCTAGATCTCTTTAATTCACAAACTATATCGATTACTCGATCAGGAATTAATAACATTGATTGCGTTGATAGTTTCAACAGCAACGGCAATACTGATAACAACATTATTAAGACTAGCAACAGCAGCAGCAGTAGCGCTAATAACAGTCGTAAAAACAGCGATCCCCGTGCATCAGAAGTATTATCGGCAATTGAAAACACATTCAGTTCTCACGACAGTATGTTTAGTGAAGTATTTGAGAATAAAAATGGTGAGACAATGAAGGAAGAAACATTGGAGGATTCAAATCCATATTCAGACAGAGCTGATAAGAATTGCAAAATTTGCAAGTAAGAGCTAATAATATAAATTTCTAAACTAAGTGAACTTGTATAACTAATTTTTCTAACTAATTTAAGAGGGATGCTGAATTCTCCAAGGATTTTATCATGTCTTCATGTATTTTGTGAAATGTGCATCGACAAACTCTTAATTGATGGTACTGGCGACTCTTTGAAAAAAGATTGTAATTTCCCATGTCCAACATGTGGTCAAATAACTAAGGTGAGAGCTATTTTTTTGTAAACTTGTATTGAACCCGTTGACATTTTTTTAAAATTTATTCTAAAGGTTGGGCAAAAGGGAGCAGTGTCTTTGACATGTGATTACATATTCACAAACATTTTGGATTTGTCAACAATTGAGCCAAAAATGCTGGCATGTACATCATGTAAAAGTAAAGAAAATGCCATATCACGTTGCAATGATTGCGCTAATTTCCTATGTGCTGGTTGTGATAAAGCTCATAAGTACATGCGTTGTTTTGAAAACCATGAAGTTGTAATATTAGAAGATTTACAAAAATCAGCTGAGAAAGTCACCATTCATAAACCGCTCTTCTGTAACGTTCACACTAGCGAGAATCTCAAATATTATTGTTTCAACTGCCAAATACCAGTTTGTAATGATTGCCTGATTGCTGATCATAAGGGCTCGGAGCATCACTATGATATTATTACCAACGCAGAGAAAAATGTTCGTAATGATGTTGAAAATTTGCTTAAAGAAGCACGGGCCAAAGTTAAATATTGCGACTCAGCAGCATCTGAGTTGACAAGTGCTTTAAACGAATTGCAAACTCAGCACGATACGGCTCGTGAACTTATTGAGGAAGTTTATAGGAATTTTAAAATTGTTGTTGAGCGATGTCGTGAAAATTCGTTAACAGATTTGGAAAAACTACATTCCGAAAGAGAATTAAAAATCATGGACTTGTTACATATCGTCGAAAAACAAATTGAAAAAATTGAAGGCGTGTGCAAATTTACAAATCGTGTTCTAGATCAAGCAAATGCAGCAGAATTTTTAAGCATGAAAAAACTGATACATTCTCAATTCATCAATTTGATCAGTAACACACCAAAATGTGACGTTAACTACTCTTTGGAATTTGATTCCAAATTTGAAAAATTTGAACAACTGGCGCAGGAGACATTTGGTAAATTTAGAACAGAATCTACGCCACCTAGCCCGAAAGAAAGTACACCACCGCCAACTTTACCTGGAATGCCTCCAATGATGATAAATCATCGTAATAATGGCGCCGCAAATATGGTACCGAATAATTCTCCAAATATATTAAATAATGGTTCCTCTGTGACAGCTAGTAGTCCTATTTCTTTGCCAACTTCGATGCAATCTTCTTTTGATGGTGATATTTCGGCCTTGGGTAATAATTACATGTTGCCTAATGTTTTAGCTACACCAGATTCGCCACCTCAGTCACATATGCATCATCATAATCCTCAGCATCCTATCCACCATCAATCTATGCAGAATCAACCACCACCGCAACATAACTCGCATCATTTACAACAAGTAAGATTTAAAATTTTTTTCAAGGAAAATATCTGAACAAAGTATGATTGCTTTTTTCTTGCAGCATAACAATAATAATCATCATCATAATGTGCATCATCATCAACATCCACTATTGGGAAGCGGCGCTGGTCTTACAAATGGTCCAGGATCTGGGATTAGTGGACTTGGAAATAACAGCTTGGTTGGCGGCCCATCTTCAATAGGATCGAATTCATCATTGAACAATGCCGTCAACTCTCTTGTTCCTTCAATGGTTGGCAACAGTGGAGCAACTTCGACATCAACTATTAATGGAATGGGTGGTTTCAATAGTATTGCGGAATATAATTTGCAAAGATTGGCTAGTTTAACCGAAAATACTCCAGATAATTTGCTTCAAGATTCAATTGTGCCAAATTGTCCTGCAAATACCGCAGTTCCACCGCCTAATCCTCACGTTACTTTAGCTGAAATTATTGCTGGTGACCAAAGAGCTTTAAATAATTTCCAAGCTCTGGCTAAACTAGGACTAAACAGCACTGGTAAGTACTATATTATTTTTACTTGTTTTTTTTATGTTTTTTTTTATGATTTTACATTTTTATTCTTTGCTTTTTATTTAATTTTTTCGTTTAACTCTTTTATTACTTCAATTTTTGTTATGTAATAAAAAGTTGACGATTTTACTGCAGATTTAACAGCTAATCATCATAATTTGTTAGCTGGTGCCCGTGGTTCGTCTCCAGGAATGGATTTGTTGAATGATTTTGGGTTAGGGTCTTCAACATCACCAATGCCACAATTAAGTTCACTTGGAGTTGGAGGTGAAGATCTGTCGATGCCTAATTTCCAAAATATTGTTCCTGGACGAACTAAAGCGACACCAATGCAAATTCGTTGCAAATTTGGTTCTCTAGGAACCTCTAAAGGTCAATTTAATTCACCACACGGCTTTTGTTTGGGTGTCGATGAGGAAATAATTGTTGCTGATACAAATAATCATCGCATAGAAGTTTTTGAAAAGAATGGAACATTCAAATTTCAATTTGGTGTGCCAGGAAAAGAAGAAGGTCAACTATGGTATCCGCGGAAGGTTGCTGTTATGTTAACGAATGGAAAATTTGTGGTATGCGATAGGGGAAACGAACGTTCACGAATGCAAATATTTTCTAAAAATGGTCATTTTATGAAGAAAATCGCTATAAGGTAACCAATTTGATTTTTTTATTAGCATTTAAAGACGAACACATTTTAAATAATTTAGGTATATAGACATTGTTGCTGGACTTGCAGTAACATCAAAAGGTCAAATCGTTGCCGTAGATAGCGTTTCGCCAACAGTTTTTATAATATCGGAAGATGGTGACCTAGTTCATTGGTTCGATTGTAGTGATTACATGCGTGAACCATCTGATATCGCAATCCGAGGTAAAAAAATTATTTTCACTGAAAAACTTTGAAAAGCAAAATTTTATTTTTACAGATAATGATTTCTACGTTTGCGACTTTAAAGGACATTGCGTGGCTGTTTTTAAAGATGATGGAGCTTTCCAATATCGAATTGGTAATGAAAAGGTCACTTGTTTTCCAAACGGAATTGATATATCAAATGCTGGTGATATTTTAATTGGCGACTCACATGGTAATCGGTTTCACGTTGCCTGTTATTCCCGTGATGGAATTTTGCAATCAGAGTTCGAATGCCCCCACGTTAAAGTAAGTCAAATAATTTGCTATAAGGAAAATACATATGTGTATTTGGTTAAAAGATGAAAATGCTCTGTCATTATATTGATCTACTGTCATTATATTGATTGTCAAAATTAATCTACTTTTTATGCCAGACTACTATCGCTTAGATTAAGAATTGAGTATATCGCAAAAAGGCGCAAAAAAAAAAACTAGAAACTAGAAAACTATAAACTAGAAAAAGGAAAAAGCTCATGTATCTTAATGTTATTAGTGCAGATTTTATGTATGCACATATAGTAAAAAAGTCTCATAAGAGCAGTGTAACTGATTCAGTGCGAGCATTGTTCAAACTAAAAGCGATTTTTGATTTTTGTAATTAATTTTTGAACGGGCAATATTTTCTTTTACATACCTGTGGGGGTACTGCTTAACAATAAATTTAGTGTAATCTTTTTTTTAAAATAAAAAATAAATTGATATCAAAAGCAAAAATTTATATTTCTTTTTCTTTTTAGGTTTCTCGTTGTTGCGGTTTGAAAATAACATCAGAAGGATATGTTGTAACATTAGCCAAAAATAATCATCATGTCTTAGTGCTCAATACTCTTTATGTTCACTGATCACTGAAAAAATCCTCATGAAAAAAACTTTAATTTTGTATTGTTGAGACCAAAATTATTGAACAAAATTCAAAAATTATTTTTTTTTGTTTATATATATATTAAGTTAATATTATTATTATTTTTTAATAACAAAACAGAAAGAAAAAAATCATACACGTTTCTAAGAGTATGAAAAGATTATCAAAAATATTAAAAAAAACAGTCACATAATATAGATATGAAAAAAAATACTAATTTATTTGTGATTAAAAAAATCTCGTCGAATCTATGCTTACATACAAAAAAAATTCAAGTTATATACAAATAAACTATAAAATACATAATAAAATCATATATAAAAATAGTTTGAGAAACTTTATTGATAAAAAAGTTACAAAATAATAACTAAAAAATTCAAATAACAGAAAACAAAAAAAAAAACAAAAATCATTTCCTCACACATATTATATATATGTATATATGATCATATATGAAATATGTGTATATATACATATATATATAAAAACATATACATATATTTTTTTTTTAAATTTACATTACAAATTAAACTATTATTAAAAATTAAATTTAATTATTAATTATAAAAAAAAAAATCAAAAACATTTTTATTTTTTGATCTCTTAGAAAACTTTTTATTTAAATATTTTTACAAAAAGAAAAAAAACTAAAAATTTATATAAAAGAAATAAATAATTATGATAAGAAAAAAAAAGGAAAACAGCATATTGAAAACGCATATATTAAACATTCATATGTATACCTTCATATTTTGAACAAAAAAAAAAATAAAAAATGTAACAAATAGCAGGAGGACAAACTTACCGAAGATCAACAGAAATCCTGTTATATATACTTAATAATATGTTGAAAAATTTATTCGGCTCCTCTAACTGAAACTAATATTGTTTGTTATTCGAAAAAAATGAAGTTATAATATATGAATGTTTTGTTCGTCCTCAAAAATATGAAAAATAAATAAAAATATTGATTATTTTCGATTAAATTTATGCTCAGTTAATTTTTTTTTTCGAATTGTTATTGAAAAAAAGAATATTTTTTTTTTTGGAATATGTGGAATAATTTCTTATTTATAATTTTATAGTAAAAAAAAAGAAAGGAATATATAAAAAAAATTCATTCAATTATTTCTGGGCCATATATAGAGGCTTATTTTATTGTATTTCTTTTTTTTCCAAATGAATTTTTTTCTTAACTTCTTTTTATTATAATTATTATTAGATTTACTATTTAGAATTTTTACAAAAATATTAACTATAAAAAAATATATATATAAAAAAAATATATATACATTTTTTTATAATTTTGAGCTTTACATTTATGAACTACATATATACAAATATTTTTGTTTTTATTATATTAAAATTATTAATTTTTTTCAAACCTTATTTTCTGAATTTTATTTTAATTCAGTCAAAACCGTTAAAGAAAAGAAAAAAAAATAATAAAAAGAGTTTCGTGATTAATTTTTTAATATTAAAATTTATTATAGCTTTTTTTTTTATTTACTTTATGTGTTTTTTAATGTGTTTCTTTTTCAAGTTTAATGTATACATATATATGTATATATATATATATATATATATGAATTTATATATACATAAATATAGTATATATTTTATGTTATTAAAATATATGAAATAAATTTTGATAGTTACGACCTTTAAGAGAAACAAAATTAAAAAAAAAAAATTATATACATATAAAAAAAAAAAAAACAAAAAAAATATTCCTCTTTCCGTTTTAATAAGGCTGGATATCCAAGACATTATTTACGTTTTACGTTTATATTAAAAAAAAAAAGTAAAGAATTTCTTTTTTTTTTTAATAAAAAATAATAAAAATTAAATTTATAGAAAAATGTATTTTTTTTTTAATTAATCTTATTGTTTTTTTTTTATTAAGTTTATTTTTTATTAATATTTAGTCTGTTTTTTTTTAAATACATAATATTTAATGTAAATGTACAACATTTTTACTTGATTTAATATAATTTTTCCTTGTATTATTAATTAAAAACAAAACACAAAGAAAAAATATTAAAACATATAAATATATAAATTTGTATGTATAAATCCAATAAGGGAGTTTATATAATATATGTATATATATATGCATATGTATATATATTACTATAAAATTTGGGAAACAAAATTGAAAATAGCAAAGTATACATTAATTTTTTTTTATTTGTAAACAATTGTTAATAATATTTCAACAGTTAAATTTTTTTTTTAAAAATATAATGATAACAAAACAAAATAAAAATTATGTTTACAAAATAGCACAACTCTTATTCTGTTAGACGCCTCCTTGAAGTGATTGAAAAATATTTTGATTTTCGTTTAGGAATTTCAAATTTTTAAAATAATTTTATTAAAAAAATTACAAAATTTTTAAAAAACAACCCTTCACGTCAAGTGATGCGCGACTAACAGAATGTAAGTGAATTTTTCAGGTACTAGTAAATAAATAATTTTTCTGGTACTATTAAAATTTTTAAATTTATCCAAAAATTGATACTAAAATTTTTTAACTTTTCAAAATTTTTTAAGGTTTTTCATTATTATATACATACTTAACTATTTATAATACGACGAAATATATTTACTTTACCAATTTTATTTTGACATTTTGTGTGTCAGAAAATATTTACAAATTAGCATTTTTGAAAATTATTGATAATAAATTTAAATCTTTTTTATGTTATTAAAAAAAATATTTTTAATGCATATCCATATCCGTTAGTTTTTTTTGTTTTTGTCTTGTTTTCACTTTTTAAATAACTCATTGAATGCAATAAAACAAATGCTTTTATATTAATTCATAATCAAAAATGTATACTTTGTTAAATTTTTTCAATTTTTTTTTATTTTAAATTCTGATGGAATTTTTTATTTTATTTTTTTTCCTTTAATAAAAAATCTTATAAGTCAACAATTGGATATATACATATATACATGTACATATATATATGTTATATATAAATACCTTTAAGTATAGGTACACCTAATGATTGAACAAATTTTCGTTTCCATACGCCTTACTTTTTCTCTTTTAAAATGTATTTAAAAGCTACTAAATTATTTATTTTCATTTAAAAGGAAAAATAAAACATCGTTATAATATATATGTAAAAAAAATGTATTTATAATTTTTTTATATGAATGTTGCTCAATATCAAAATATTATATACTTTTTATATATTTAAACTACACAAAAAATTAAAAACGTAAAACAAATTAAAAAAGGAAATTTTAAAAGTAAAAAAAAAAAAAGTACAAAAAAAAAGGTTTTGATTTTCTTTCTATAAGTAATATACAAAATAATTTATACATACGTATATCAATATACATATATATACGTATTGTCATTTTTATTCTTTGATACATGCAAATATATATATATCTATATACATAATTCTTTTCTTTCTGGAAAATCATATTCCTCAACTATTATAATCAATGTATTTACAAAAACAAAAAAAGAAAAAAAACCAAAAAAAAAAGGTTATTTTACCAGTGAGTTAGTATAAAAATTGTTTCCTTATATAAAAGTTTTTAATATAATTATAATAATAATTAAATTAAAAATATTCCTTATATTATTTTGTCTATAATATTTTTTCTTTTTAGTAGTAAAAATTGCCTATTTTTTTTTTATTGTAACTCGAAAAAAAAATTAATTTTTTCATAATTTTTTTTTATTTAAAATTAGTTTATAAGATTTTTATATTTATAAAATAATATCATTTTAACGCCATAAATCAAAGACAACAAATTATAAAAAGAGAAAGGAAAAAAGCAAAGAAACAAAAATTTGTTCGATAATTAATTTTTTAATTAGTTAAAAATAAAACTTTAATTATCACAATATAAATAGTAATAAACATTATAATAATAAATTATATAAAAAAAAATTACAATTTAAAACGACTTAGTTGCTAAAAATAATATAAAAAAAAATCAAATAAGAAAGAAAACGAACACTTGCGCGAATTAAAAATAATACATGTGAAATAAGCATATATATATATATATATATATATATATATATATATATATATATATATATATATATAAATACATACTGGACATATATTATATAAATATAAATTAAAACAAATAGTCATTTTTTCTTAATATATAAGTTTTTTTGATATACATACCTAATTATTTTAAATGAAATATTTTAAATGATATTTTTTTTTGTTAACTTTAAAAGAATTTATTATATTATATATTAATATATTATATATAAATATATATATTATATATATATATATATTATATATATAATCAATATATATATAATATACAAATAAAACTATAATTATTAAATTGAAAATTCCGTACGCTTTTATTAACTCTAGTTTTGTTAAACAAAACCAGTTTTAATTAGAACATTTATAATATTATAATAATCATAATTTTTTCCCTTAAAAAAATACAATAATTATGTTAATTACTAATTATATAATTATAATATATATTGCAATATATATATATGAATATGCCGATAATATTTACAAATATCAATTAAAACAAAACTTTCAAATTTATATAATACCATATACACATATACATATATCAAATTGTATTATTATATGATTTATTTTCTTTTTTTATATTCTTGTTTTTAAACTTTTCAAAAATTAAAAAAATGTAAAAAAAAAAAAAAACATAAAAATTTTAATTTTAAAACAATGAAAAAAAAAGTATGTACTAAAAAACGAAATAATTTTGAATAGAAAATTGGTTTACTATTTAAAAAAAAAAAAATGTATAAAAATATTAAAAAGGCAAAAAAAAAAATTTTATAATTATATACGTATACAATTAGATCCTAAATTTGTTCTTTTTTTAATTTTATAAAATTTGTGAAATGTTACAACAATTAAAGTAAATAATAAAGTAGACATCATTATGAAAAATAATTATTTTATACGCATATATCAAATATTTGATAGAAATTTGATTTATTTCTAAGTTAATTTACATAAAAAATTAAAAAAAAAAATTAATCCATCTCTTGAAAAATAGAGATTTCTACTTTTTGTTTTTGTTTCTAAGTATTTTTTGTTACTGCAATTGCAACACTCATAAAATAAATATCGCATATCATTCGAATTCAAATTTGTTTTTAAATGTAAAATTATTTTATTAAAAATTTGTTTCGTCCTTAATTTTTTATTTTTTTTAATTTTAGGAGAATGTGTAATATGATTTAATTCTATTTATATTTTTTCCCCGAAAAAAAAATAAGTATTTACTTTACTGTAGTCGGTAGCCGCTGTTACTTCTTT